CGAAGTAGGGTACATAAATAAGATGCTTGGTGAGGTGTTTTTTTTTGGGGGGGTCCGGTTGTGGAGCCTGAACTCTGGGCCTGGGTGCTGTCCCTCAGCTCTTCAGCTCAAGGCTAGCGCTCTACCACTTGAGCTTGGTGAGGTATTTTATATGGTAAAAACATAAAAATTGAAAATTCTTTTTTTTTCTTTTTTTTTTTGTTGGTCATGGGCCTTGAACTCTGGGCCTTAGCGCTGTCCCTCAGCTCTTCAGCTCAAGGCTAGCGCTCTACCACTTGAGCTACAGCGCCACTTCCGGTTTTCTGGTGGTTTATTGGAGATAAGAGTTTCATGGAGTTTCCTGCCCGGGTTGGCTTTGAACCTCGATCCTCAGATCTCAGCCTCCTGAGTAGCTAGGATTACAGGCGTGAGCCACTGGTGCCCGGCTGAAACTTAATTCTTGAAAGTCATAACTTCCTAACTTATCTAAAAACAATAAAATTAAATGTAATGCTACTGCTTTCTCAGGACAAATAGGAAACATGTCCTTTTAAAAAATATATACCAGCTCTTATTAAAACTCACATGGTAGGTACTGCAGGAAAGATTTTAGGAACTGTGCGCCCTTGTTTGCTGGTTGATTCCAGCTATGCAGTGCTCAGCAAGAACTTCAGTCTGTCTTGATGCCTGATGGACATGCTCATGGATGGGCACATTCAGTGTAAGATACTGAAATTACTCAGGAAATCTTGTGCCTTCTGCTTATTAGTTGAAATATTTTAGTATGAATAAATGTTGAATTTGGTCTTTTTTGCCCTATTATGAAGATAGTTTTGTCCTTTATTATGATATATTATTTTTATTGTACAAAAAATAGGTTTCATTATGCCATTATGTATACAGTGCACTTCAGTCTTATTCACCCCATCACTCCTGTCCCCACAAATAGTCCCCTCTTACAGACCTATTTTTGTTTGTTTTCATGTTTAGATCTGCATTCTGCATAAGAGAGAAAATATATGGTATTTGTCTTTACTTAATATGATCTCCAGTTCTATACATTCTTCTGCAAATGATGTAATTCCGTTCTTATTTTTGACTAAAAAATGTCTCCATTTTTTACTCACACATCTTCACTTGTGAAGTAGGCTGATTCCAGTCTTGGTGGTTGTGAATAGTGCCTCAGTGAACATGGGTATGCTGGCACTCCTGCTTAGGATGTTGATTCACTTTTCATCTATCTTTGGCCATTTGTCCTTCTTTTGAGAACTATATGTTCAATTCATTTGTCTATTTATTGACTAGATTATTTGCTCTTTTAGTGTTTAATCTTTTGAGTGCTTTATATAATCTGAATACTAATCCCTTGTCAGATTATTAGCTGGCAAAGATTTTCTCCCACTCACTCATGTGTATGTGTGCGTGTTCACACGCGCTACTACCGGGGCTTGAACTCAAAGGTTAATACTCTTGCTTACAGCTGGCACTCTACCACTTGAGACATCTCCAGTTCCAGGCTTTTGCTGGTTAGTTGGAGATAATAGTCTCATGCACTTTTCTGGCTTTGAGTCACAGTCCACAGATCTGAAGAGCTTCCTTTAGTTTCAGAGCAGGACTACAGAGGACAAATTCGCTTAAATTTCATTCATGTGAGAATGTGTTTCTCTCACTTCCCTTGCTGGCTGATGTGTTTGCTGAGGAGAACTCTGGGTTGCTGTCCTGCTGTTCACCTGAGTATAGCTGTGCATAGCTGTGTTTTGCTGCTCATACTTGATTTCTCTCAGCTTTGCCTTGGATGTTTTGGACACGGTTTTCCTTTATCATATTCAGTGTTACTTCTTGAATTGGGAAAGATTAGGTATATCACTGCATTTAGGAAAATTTTAGTCATTCTTTTTTGTGTCTGTGCACCACTGGGGCTTGAACTCAGAGCCTCGTGAGCCTCGTGTTCTTGCTCAACTTTTTTGCTCATGGCCGGCGCTCTGCCACTTAGGTCATGTATCCAGTCTAGCATTTTGCTGGTTAATTGGAGATGGAGTCCTGAGGACTTTTCTACCCAGGCTGCCTTCAATCTCCTTAGTATCTAAGATTGCAGGTGTGAGCTATCAGCATCTGGCTAATCTTTTTTTTTTTTTAATTTCTGCAAAAATTCACTTCTCTCTTTCAGGAACTAAAATAACTTTTTTATGCCAGTACTGGGATTGAACCCAGAGCCTGGGCACTGTACCTCAGCTTTTTCCACTTAAGCCACTTGAGTCACAGCTCCACTTGTGGCTTTTTGGTGGTTAGTTGATAATGAGTCTCATAGACTTCTCTGCCCGGGCTAGATTTGAACCCTGATCCTCAGATCTCAGATTCCTGAGAAACAAGAATTACAGGTATGAACCACTAGCACCCAGCCTAAAACAATATAATTTGATATTATACTTTAGATCTCTCATAAATCCTGGAAACACTGTTGCGTACTTATTTTTACTATTTTCATTTCCTCCTTACTTTAGGTCCTATTGATTCACTGTCAAATTTATTGGCTTTTTTTCTGTTATCTATTGCTGAGTTATCCTATAACTATTTGGCAGTTTTTTAAAGCATACAAAATACAAGTTTATTAAAGCACAGATATTAAGTTTCTCATGATTTTCATGAGCATCGATACACAGCTCAGATCATTGTAGACTTAGCCACTGAGTAGAGAGAAAGCAAAGCAAGTCAGCCAGTGTGGTGCACGGAACAAGTTCAGAGGGCACTGACAACATTATAGTCTGTGTTATCCAGTATCTCCGATTGTAAGACTTGATTGGTGTCACAAAAAAGAAGTTGCTGAAACACATCCCATTCACACTTGTTTTTTCTCTTTTCTTACGGATTGGCATATAATATTTGTACAGATATATGTGGTAAAATGTGATGGGTTTTGCATATTGAAATTTTTTCTGGTCTTCAAACACAAAAGAAACAAGAAAACTTCAAGCTACATAGCAATGTAGAAAAGCAAAAATTATGAACAACAAAAATAGGGCATGTACACTAAGTATATTGCAGTATCTTATGCCTAATACCATCTCTTTTACTAAAGATCACTATAACTTATTTATTATTCACATAGTGGAAAGAAAGAGCCACTATCACATGACAATACTATTAAAAATAATCTCAGTACTTTTTTTTTAGTTTGGATAGGTGAGTGTATTTTTCATAATGTATATGTCAAAGCAAAGCTAGGAAAAACCCAAATTTCTCCCCCCCATGTCAACTATCTTTTATGTGAAATTATTGGAACCAAATATACTTTGGATTTTCCCCCTAGATTTTGGTATATTTGCATGTGCATAATGAGATATTTGGAGTGAAATACAAGTAATAATCACAAAATTCATTTGTTTTCATATCTAGCTTATAAATTTAGTTTCAAGGTCATTTTATACAGCACTTCCTTTACGAGCCCCTCTGCTGTATTTTTCACACATTTTCTTCTGATTCTGTGCCCTCCTCCTACCTTCCTTCTTACACGCACATGTATGTACCATATGTGGGGTGAAGAACACAGAGTCAGTTAAAAACAATGGGACAAAGTAAGAAGAGAGACAGATTAAGAGAGACAGAAAAACACACGGTTTCCCTGATAGGCAGATGTTAAATTGAAAACACAACCAGAGATGACAAAGTAAACAGGACTCAAGAAACAAAGGATTGCTTCTTAATTTGTCCCATTGTTTTTAAATGACTCTGTTCTATTTGGTAATTTTTTTTTTTTTTTTTTTTTTGTCGGTTGTGGGGCTTGAACTCTGGGCCTGGGCGCTGTCCCTCAGCTCTTCAGCTCAAGGCGAGCGCTCTACCACTTGAGCTACAGCACCACTTCCGGTTTTCTGGTGGTTTATTGGAGATAGGAGTCTCACGGTCTTTCCTGCCCGGGCTGGCTTTGAACCACGATCCTCAGATCTCAGCCTCCTGAGTAGCTAGGATTACAGGCATGAGCCACCAGCGCCCGGCTACTATTTGGTAATTTTTTAATATTATATGATACTGACCTATAGCAACAGCTGAGAGACACTGACTTAATGCCTCTAAGCTTTAGTGTCCTTTATGTAAAAAAAAAAACTAGGTTGAAGCTGAGCTCTGGTGGCTCACTCCTCAGCCACTGAGCAGGCTGAGAGCTGGAGAATTGTGGTTCAAGGCCAGCCAAGGCAGAAAAGTCCACAAGACTCCATCTTTAAAATAATCAGGAAAAAAACAGGACTGGAGACATGACTCAAGTGATAGAGAGCCAGCCGAGCAAGGAAACGTAGTGAACATGAGCACTGCGTTCAAATTGCCACTGGCAACCCTTTCAGGTTTCTGATGGACCTAAACAAGTGTCACCTGTCAGACCCCAGCAACTGCACGGTAGCAGAATTCGTGAGATCGAATCAGGGAGCACCAAGGATTTCACTAGGAGAAACAGTGGGCATCACTGTCCACTGTACTACCGAGGGTCAGAAAGCTGACTTGAGTGGTGGGGAGAGGCTGTGATCTATTGCTGGTTACCCCAAATTGCAAAGTGCACAGATACCTAATAAGTGTCCCAAGGGCTTGTGGGAGATGCTGTCATAGGAGGCCACAGCTGCTGCCTCCACCAACCACAGTCAGTGTGAGACAGGCACCATGCACCAGGGGGGGTGGGGGGAGACAACCGCCAGAGAACAGAACTCTGACGGAAAGTCTTTTTTTAAATTAAACTACAACATTAACATTTCATAGAAATTTACTTTACGTATGTTACGAACCTCAAGTTAACTAAGCTTATGATCCAGGCTGCTGTGGAGTTACTTTCTGAATTACCGTAAGGATCACATGGGCTACCTGTACTTAGTGGTGTTTCCCTATTAGACAGTTGTACTACTGTTGCTATGCTCAGGTATGATACAGTGCATTACTGGTTTTGTTCATGTTAAACACAATATTATACATTTTCAATATCCTTAAATGGTCTAGTTATAAAGCAGACATTTCAACTAATGCTATTATCTTCTTATTATTAACAGAACATCCAAGGTATCTCTAAGCACCCAATTCAGATTACCAAACCTCAAAAATTTAAAGGTAAGGGGCTGGGAAGGTGGCTTAGTGGTAGAGCACTTGCCTTGCATGCCTGAGGCCCTGTATTTGATTCCTCAGCACCACATAAACAAAAAGAAAAAAGCCGGAAGTGGAGCTGAGGCTCAAGTGGTAGAGCGCTAGCCTTGAGCTGAAGAGCTGAGGGACAGCGCCCAGGCCCAGAGTTCAGGCCCCACGACCGGACCCCCCCCCCAAAAAATTAAAGGTAACATGTTCCTTTCTACCTTGTTAAAATCAGGAGTAACATTTTTCTATAATCTAGAAGTGTTTCAAATTGTTTTTCTATAAAACTTAACAACTTCACTTTCCTGAAATTCTCTATATTTACATGACTAGGATTTAAATATACATTGAAAAAATAAAAAGTAGTTGAAGGATATGGCACCTCCCTTTTAGCAGTTCCCATCGTTTAAATACATGGTAATTACACCAGGAAAGCGGCTTCCCTCCTACCATCTACCCCCCACCATCTTCTTGAGAAAGAAAAAATAAACATATAATAGCACTGGCTTTTATTAAAGCCTGAACATTTCTGGAAATGTCTATGAAAGTATGCTCACATTCTTCTCCAGTATTAGCCTTTTCCTGGTTAATTGGAGATGGAGTCCTGAGGACTGTTTTGAGCTATTCTGTTGTAATGCTGATGGTCACATTTCTTAAGAAGAAAAGGCTTAAGTATGGCAAATGAGTGCGGTGTTACCCATTCCCAGTGACATTCTGTGCCCAGGCCCTGCTGCCCTGGGTTGTGGTGCTGGCTGAGGAGCACCACAGCACTTCAAAGCCCCAAGCCATCCTCTCCAGACACACACTGCGGTGCTCAGACGGGCTGGCGAAGTGAACCTGACTGTGTACTCTGACCCTTTGCAAGGTCACAGTGGGACCATCAGAGCTGCACGGTCCCCTGCACATCTTCCTAGCCAAGAGCCTCTGTCTCAAGGCTCTTACCACAGAGCAGTCACTGACAATATCTATCTTTCCCTCCCTTCATCAGTATTCTAGAAGAACTGAGGTGTTATGAAGACACTGGGGGTTGAAGTGAATGTTTTGTGCTTGCTAAGTCCTCTGTTGAGCCATACCTCCAGCCTTTTTGCTCCCATTGTTCTTGGATAGGATCTCATTTTTTGCCTATGGCAGTCAGAACCAATATCCTTCTAAGTATGTGTCCTGTATAGGTAGGATGGTATGTGTACAATACCATGCCAAGTCCTTTTCTGTTAGGATAGGATCTTGGAAATTTTTTTTGCCTAGGCTGGCTGGGAACCTGCATCCTTCCAATCTCAGCTGGATGACAGTACCGAGCATTGCGCCCAGTTTATGGATTGAGATGAGGCTGGCTTTGAGCCACTATTCTCTGCCTGCTAAGTAAGCCAGGATTATAGCTTGGGCCACTAGCACCTACACAGAACAGAGAAAATAATAATAAGTACCTGCACTTTCTAGGTAGGTGCTTTCCCTCTTCAGCCACTCTGCTAGTCCTTTTAATCTTTATTGTTTTTCTTGTCTTTCTTCTTTTTTTTTTTTGGTCGGTCATGGGGCTTGAACTCTGGGCTGGGCGCTGTCCCTCAGCTATTCAACTCAAGGCTAGCACTCTACCACTTGAGCCACAGCACCACTTCCAGTTTTCTGGTAGTTTATTGGAGATAAGAGTCTCACAGAGTTTCCTGCCCAGGCTGGCTTTGAACCATGATCCTCAGATCTCAGCCTTCTGAGTAGCTAGGATTACAGGTGTAAGCTACTGGCGCCTGGCTCATTTTTTCCCCCTAGGGCTTGAATTCAGGGCCTAGGTGCTATCCCTGAGCTTCTTTTGCTCAAGGTTAGTGTTCTGTTGCTTGAGCCAGTGCTCCACTTCCAGCTTTTGGGGGGTAGTTTATTGGAGATAAGAATCTCATGGACTTTCTTGCCTGAGTTGGCTTTGAACCATGATCCTCAGATCTCAGCCTCCTGAGTAGCTAGGATTTCAGCTATGAGCCATCAGCACCCAGCTCCTTTGTTATTTTTCAAATAGCATCTTGCATGTATGCCTAGGCCAGCCTGGACTACAATCTACCTGTTCATGCTTCCCACAGAGCTAGAATGACAAGTGTGTGCCACTCAATCCCACTATTGATTGAGATGGGGGTCTCACATTTCTGCTTGGGCTGGCCTCAAACTGGGATCTTCTCAATCTCCACTTCCCAAGTAGCTAGGATTATGGCAAGACCCACTGATGCCCAGCTCAGGACAGAAAATTTTAATAATTGGAAATCTCATTAGTGTTCAGAAGTAATATTATTTTAATTAATACACTTAATATTAATACAAGTAGCCACAAAACTGATGTTAAATAATTCAACTTTAAGGAATGGCTGAGGGTCAGCTCACGACCACTTACTACTTGCTCTTGAATGACCATGCAGGTGAAGAAGGCCAGACCCTCACCATCTCCCCACGGGCCCTGTTTGTCTCCTCCCAAGGCCACACCTTCCTGACAGCAGGTAGGTGCAAGCAAAGATAGAAGAGCTCCTGCATGGCTGAGCAGCCACGTGCTAACCAACTGAATAATTCAAATCACTTACAGGGCCTGTTTTTTTTTTTTAAATAATCCCTAAAGGAAATACTGATATGTAACAGTGATTCCTTATGATCATTAAGTAATAGCAACTCCTTGGCTTCCAGCCTCTTCTATCTTGCCGCATTTAGGTCCCAGATACCCCTGCACAGGCCTCTGCTGCCTCTGTTCCCACTGCTCATTCAAAGCAGTTGCCTAGCCCAGGGGCCCCTCCTGCACCTCACACCCTGTAGTCATCCTTCTTCCCAGCCATCTGAGCCCCTTTTGTTTCCATGTGCCTCTGCTCAGGGTCCCTTTCTTCATCTGTCAGCATCTCTTGGCACGTGCAGAGATGTAACAGCAGCCTCCTGTACACACCTCTCACTTCCAAACCAAACTGCTTTACCTGGCACTCTTGTCCATTTCATTCCTCACCTCTGACTCCAAATCATGTATTCAAAGCTCCGTGGAGGGAGGGAATTCTGTCTGTGTCATTTGCTAACACATCCCAAGCACTGCTCCTGGGACATAGAAGTCTCTTTCTACAATTGTAGTGCATGGAGTGAGTGAATGGGCCAAGGAATGAACACTCCCTGCTGGCTCCACTGGGGCCTCACAGGAGGCAGAGCAGAGCTTCGGATTTGCCACACACACAGACTAGCCTGGCAGCTGGAGGGGGATGTTGATCTGACCCAGAGAGAGGCAGTGTGAGGAGGCAGGGATGGGGAAAGCTGAGGGCATCGTTGGTGGACTGGGAATTAACACAGAGCTCTGTCTCACAGACTTTTCACAGATTGAATTGCGCATTCTTGCACATTTATCTGGGGATCCAGAACTTCTGAAGCTATTCCAGGAATCTGAAAGAGATGATGTATTTTCTACCCTGACTGCACAGTGGTAAGATAACAAGCCATAGTACAATCAGATATACAAGAATGCTGACATGATTTAAACGTCTGAAGTTAGTCCAAGACTATTTTTACAAGGAAGAAATTAAGTTTTTCTCTAGTGGTTAATCACATTGAAAAATGTAGATAGAAGCCAAGAGCTTCCTAATTATGAAAGAATGGATGACTCTTCCCCACTAAGTGGGCATGTAATGGGAATATTGGAAGAATAGCGAGAGCGAGTCACAGAGGGAGAGGAGGACGCCCTGTGCTGGGGATGTGAGCCACAGCCCTCTGGGAGGAGGGCAGATGTCCACTATATCCCCTCCAGTGTCAGAGGGTGGGAGCTCCTGGTCTGCAGGTGGCTAGCCCTTTCTGAGAGAACTCAGGCAGGCAGCCTCGGATTTGTCTAGGCAGCACAGGTGGGGGATTTTCTTCCGAGTGGGAGACGTGCCGCCTGCTTGCTAGGCAGGTGGAGAGGGCAGGACTGCGCTTTCACACCACCCTCTGATCTAGGAGCCCACTGCAGATTCTGCTGTCCCCTTTTCCAAGCAGTCACACACACTGCCACAGCTGCAGAGAAACTGGTAAGGCTCTGCTCTGAGAAGGAGAACCGGACTGTCAGTGGCAGCTGAGGGTCCGGATTTTGGTGCAAGAAGACAGGGCCAGATGGGCCACTACTGGAAGGTGCCTGTGTCTGCTGCCATTGCAATTCCCTTCTGGAAAGCCTGCAGTTGCCAGCTTCCCCTTACCTTGTGCATTTCCCCTCAGGTGGTTCCCCTGTGACTCCCCTCCTTTTCCCACCCCCTCCATTTCCTGCTCACCCTCAGGAGTCACTACACACATTACTTCCAGGAATACTGTCCCTTGCTTTCACGTGGCCCTAACTTGCTCAACATACACTTGTCTCTGTTGCTGTCACTGCCTGGAGGCATGTGAGGTCACCAAGGGTAGGACTATATCCCTTGTCCAGACCAGCAATGGGCCACTCGCTGGCCCACTTTGGTCCTCCTTGGCTGGTGCCAGTTCACCAATGCCCACCTTATTCACTCTTCTTCTCTGGGTTCAGGAAGGTCTTTCCCTAAAATCATCCAACTCTGTTCTGCAAGCAAGACCACTGAGATCTGTAACACCCAACCTCACCTTTCCCAGCCCAGCTGCTCCCTGCCACTCACTCACTTACCAGCTCTGCTCCCTGCCAATGCACTCCCCACTGCACCCCAGCTCTGCTCCATGTCCAGTGCACTCCCCACTGCACGCCAGCTCTGCTCCATGTCCAGTGCACTCTCCACTGCACCCCAGCTCTGCTCCATGTCCAGTGCACTCCCCACTGCACCCCAGCTCTGCTCCATGTCCAGTGCACTCCCCACTGCACCCCAGCTCTGCTCCATGTCCAGTGCACTCCCCACTGCACCCCAGCTCTGCTCCCTGCCAATGCACTCCCCACTGCACCCCAGCTCTGCTCCATGTCCAGTGCACTCCCCACTGCACCCCAGCTCTGCTCCATGTCCAGTGCACTCTCCACTGCACCCCAGCTCTGCTCCATGTCCAGTGGATTTACCACTGCACCCCAGCTCTGCTCCATGTCCAGTGTACTCCCCACTGCACCCCAGCTCTGCTCCATGTCCAGTGCACTCCCCACTGCATCCCAGCTCTGCTCCCTGCCAATGCACTCCCCACTGCACCCCAGCTCTGCTCCATGTCCAGTGCATTTACCACTGCACCCCAGCTCTGCTCCATGTCCAGTGCACTCTCCACTGCACCCCAGCTCTGCTCCATGTCCAGTGCACTCCCCACTGCACCCCAGCTCTGCTCCCTGCCAATGCACTCCCCACTGCACCCCAGCTCTGCTCCATGTCCAGTGCACTCCCCACTGCACCCTGGCTCTGCTCCATGTCCAGTGCACTCCCCACTGCACCCCAGCTCTGCTCCATGTCCAGTGCACTCCCCACTGCACCCCAGCTCTGCTCCATGTCCAGTGCACTCTCCACTGCACCCCAGCTCTGCTCCATGTCCAGTGCACTCTCCACTGCATCCCAGCTCTGCTCCATGTCCAGTGCACTCCCCACTGCACCCCAGCTCTGCTCCATGTCCAGTGCACTCTCCACTGCATCCCAGCTCTGCTCCATGTCCAGTGCACTCCCCACTGCACCCCAGCTCTGCTCCATGTCCAGTGCACTCCCCACTGCACCCCAGCTCTGCTCCATGTCCAGTGCACTGTCCACTGCACCCCAGCTCTGCTCCATGTCCAGTGCACTGTCCACTGCACCCCAGCTCTGCTCCATGTCCAGTGCACTCCCCACTGCACCCCAGCTCTGCTCCCTGCCAATGCACTCCCCACTGCACCCCAGCTCTGCTCCATGTCCAGTGCACTCTCCACTGCACCCCAGCTCTGCTCCATGTCCAGTGCACTCCCCACTGCACCCCAGCTCTGCTCCATGTCCAGTGCACTCTCCACTGCACCCCAGCTCTGCTCCATGTCCAGTGCACTCCCCACTGCACCCCAGCTCTGCTCCATGTCCAGTGCACTCCCCACTGCACCCCAGCTCTGCTCCATGTCCAGGGCATTTACCACTGCACCCCAGCTCTGCTCCATGTCCAGTGCACTCCCCACTGCACCCCAGCTCTGCTCCATGTCCAGTGCATTTACCACTGCACCCCAGCTCTGCTCCATGTCCAGTGCACTCTCCACTGCATCCCAGCTCTGCTCCATGTCCAGTGCACTCCCCACTGCACCCCAGCTCTGCTCCATGTCCAGTGCACTCCCCACTGCACCCCAGCTCTGCTCCATGTCCACTGCATTTACCACTGCACCCCAGCTCTGCTCCATGTCCAGTGCACTCCCCACTGCACCCCAGCTCTGCTCCATGTCCAGTGCACTCCCCACTGCATCCCAGCTCTGCTCCATGTCCAGTGCACTCCCCACTGCACCCCAGCTCTGCTCCATGTCCAGTGCACTCCCCACTGCACCCCAGCTCTGCTCCATGTCCAGTGCACTCCCCACTGCACCCCAGCTCTGCTCCATGTCCAGTGCACTCCCCACTGCACCCCAGCTCTGCTCCATGTCCAGTGCACTCTCCACTGCAGCCCAGCTCTGCTCCATGTCCAGTGCATTCACCACTGCACCCCAACTCTCCTTCCATCCCCGGCAGACACCTCTGCAGCCTGGCTCTGCTTCCATCCCAAGCAGTCACCCCTGCAGCCTGGCTCTGCCTTGTCTAGGGCCTGCCAAGCCTGGAGGCTCACAAGTAAATGAGTGAATAGTGTTGAGTCCAGAGTTTCCTGTGCCTTTGGGGAAAAAAAAAGCACACCACTCAGACTTTTTATTTGTATAATAAAATCCAGGAGCTTGTAGCGTGTGTGTGTGTGTGTGTGTGTGTGTGTGTGTGTGTGTGTGTGTGTGCGCGCGTGCGCACGTGTGCAAGCACGTGCGATCAAGCATGCACATGTGCACATGCTGGTATTAGAACTTGAACTCAAGCTGGGCATCGGTAGTTCATGCCTGTAATCCTAGCTACCCAGGAGGCTGAGATCTGAGGATTATGGTCCAAAGCCAGCCCAGGCAGGAAAGTCTGTGAGACTCTTATCTTCAATAAACCACTTGAAAACCGGAAGTGGTGCTGTGGCTCAAGCGGTAGAGCACTCGCCTTGAGCTGAAGAGTGCAGGGTCAGCGCCCAAGCCCATAGTTCAAGACCCACTACTGACAAAAAAAAAAAAAAAAGAAAAACACTTGAACTCAGGGCCCTATGTCTCACTTGGTTATTTTGTTCAAGGCTGGTGCTCCACCAGTTGAGTCACGCCTCCCGTTCTGGCTTTCTGGTGGTTAGCTAGAGATAAGAGTCTCCTAGACTTTCTACATGATTTGCTTTTGAACCAAGATTCTTAGATCTCAGCCCCTGAGTAGTTAGGGTTGTAGGCATGGGACACCAGTGAGGTGGTACAGTTGTCTACCTAGATAAACAGAGAACACTACTAAGACAGTGCCTATGTGGCCAGGTAGAAATCAGCACACAGAACTTCCTCTCTCAGAAAGGTGACATAAGAGAAGACGAGGTGAGGATGGAATGCCTGTGGTGATGTTCTAAAACATGCACCATCTATGTGAGAAAAGGGAGAGTTAGGAAGGGGCACTGTGGCTCAAGTGGTAGAATGACAGTCTTGGGCAAAAAAGTTCAGGGACAATGCCCAGGCCCTGAGTTCAATCCCCATGACTGACAAGACTAAATAAATAAATAAAAATAAACATAAAAAAAAGAAAAAGTGGGCTGGGACGTAGCTCAGTGGCAAAGTGCTTGCCTAGCAAGTGCAATGTCCTGAGTTCGATCCACAGTACCAAAAAACAAAAAGACAAAAAAAAAAAAAAAAAAAAAGAAAAAGTTAGAAAAACCATCGAAAATTTATACAACATTTTATAAAAATTTATGAAACATTTTATAAAAATGTAACTTTTTTCAAGCCCCAAGACCAATAAAAAATGTAACTTTTTACACTGGTATATAAATATAGATATATGTCCTAATAAATATAGCTGAGATTAACATAGCTTTTTAGTGACTGGAGATACTAATCTCTACTTTGTGATACAAAGATAATGCACAATAACCAGGAAAATTAATTAGGGCTGGGTGATGGTGGCTCATGCCTGTAATCTTAGCTACTCAGGAGGCTGAGATCTGAGGATCACAGTTCAAAGCCAGCCTGGGCAGGAAAGTCTATGAGACTCTTATTTCCCCATTAACCATCAGAAAACCAGAAGTGGGGTTGTGGCTCAAGTGGTAGAGTGCTTGCCTTGAGCTGAAGAGCTCAGGGCCAGTGCCCAGGCCCAGAGTTCAAGCCCCATAACCAACAACAAAAGAGAAGAATAACAATAGGATCACTAATATTAAAATATTAAGCCACAGTTGCTGAAATATAAAACAGATCAATAGAAAAAATGAAGTTCAGAAATAGACCCATATATATATACATTTACCATATGTAGTATATGTAAATGAGATAAGAAAGTAAGT